GTTCACTAGTAATTATTTGGGGCCTTGCAAGAAAATGTCCTTCAATGCACTATGCAGTCCTGCGACAGAAAAATATCTGGTAATGTAATTTCAGTGCATACTATCAGAACATTCGAAATATTCCAAACTAGAGGAGGCAATTCCACCCACCCTGTTTGCATGGTTTCTCGTAAATTATTGATCCAGATATCACAGCTACGGAAACAAAGCAAAATTACTGGGTAAGCTACTGGGGTAACTGAGTTCTTTTCGGTCAGCACGGTGCACTTCCACAATAACGATAATAACTAAGTGAAATTTTAATGTTTATCTTCTATGGAGAGATGTCCAATTCAGAATCCGCTTTCATCATTTTTTTTCCATTGTAAGAGCAAGTTGAATTGAAGAGGAAACTTTAACAGTTAAATTAAATGTAAAGACATATAACATTTTTTTAAAGTGTACTACTAAAGTGTAGATGTGAACTTTTTTGGGGGGGAGGGGTGGTGATTATCATATTTTAATGTAAACTCAACACCAAATGAATCTGCCTGTCCAATGCCGTGCTCTTCTTTGAAAAGGAAAGCTTTATGAGCGCAAAACTGCACATTAGCGGTAGCTTAACAGCACTGTAAAACACTCCGACTCTTGTCCATATCGGCTGCACAGAGGCTGTTACGTCAAGGGTGACAATCACAGCTCAAAGGTGAACCAATGGCTCCCTCTAGAGCTTGGACTCCAGTGTCCAGATTCGTGTCACACCAGTCTGGCCACACTGGTCATTGTTCTGGGATTCACACACTTACCACAACCAATTGCCTTTTTATTTCGGCTTTTTTGTTAGCCTAAAAACTCACTGCACGGTTTCCAGGGCTAACGAGTTTTCACTTTTTTAATCCTGTGTTTTTTTTTAACCATCCATTAATGACAAATAAAGGCCCCAGTGGAAGATACTCCAATTTAAATAAAACTAGAAATTTGCCATTTTGCTATTATGGGTTCAGATACTTGAATTTAGTGAAACTTGATAGCTATTGTTCCTGAGCTTTAAGACTCCAATGAAGTACTGAAGATGAAAAACTAGAGTTTAAAAACAAACAAAATTGAAAACAGAATCAAAGCTTTAAAGTGTAGAAAATGTAGAAAATGGAACACCCACAACACCACAGAGTCCTCTGAACTGAAAACCACGACACAATATGAATTCCATGACTTTCAAGACATTCCACAGTAACAAGGCATATGTTAACTGCAAAGTACTGTATAAGGCCTTGTGTTTACTCCAGAAAGCTGCTTTTACAGACAGCTCCTGTATTGTAGTCAGGCTTGTGTGGAGTGAGTCTCCATTAATCTTACAACAAATCAATCCAGCTAAACTGCCTGTGTCCTGCACCTAGGCTGCATCTACGTCAGCATACCAGCTACTGATGTGTGGGTTTATACACAGAGCTCGCCTTTAAAATCCTTAACTGGAACCACTCGAAAAAAAAATCACAGGCTACATCATACATATGTATGTCTGTAAAGCCAATTTATGTATGGAGTGTACAACATATAATTTATTATCAACTCAACTAAACATAAAAGTTAATAAGTAATGAATAATAATTGTTCATGACATGACACATTATTGTAAAGGGTTGGACTGTCAGAAAACAAAAAAGGACAAAAGAATGAACACTGAAGTTAAATAATTCACCACTATTAGGGCTGGAAACTGCACACCTGTGTCTGGGAAGTGCCACTTTCCCCTCTGTCCTCCGGAGGGAGCGAGGGTGTATTACAGGCCACAGTGCAATAACTACTGATTATACAGAGGAAGACCATTATACCGGTCATTGTGCAGCAGATATTGGTCACATGGAGGATGGGCGCAAATCAAGACGTACAGTCAAGGAATCAATCAGTCGCGTGATGGAAGGGTGCGACACACACCACGGATTAGCTGGAACCATTTAAAGGAAGGCAGGGTGCAATATGCAATACAGACCATATAGTCAAAGATAGAGAGATAATAATAA